GTACTCCTCGATGTGTGTGTTATGTTAGTGTAAATGGTTTCCCTGTTCACATTCGAGGTGAGAACTCCTGCCAAGGTGCCTGTGCTCTCCCTCAGCGCATCTGATAGCCGGTAGGGGCGGGCGCGGTTGATAGCCATCAAATTAGCTTGCTCGGATGTGTTGGCTGCTTCACTGCTTCTCTGCTCACTGCCAAAAAACACGCCTCCTTTGACAGGTTAATCAGTTTTTTCGCGACTGTTGCTGCATGAGAGAAATGTTCAGAGCACGAAGAAATGCTCGGCCAGCTTTTCCAAAAACGCGTTTTTCAGGATAGCAGCACGGCGGACGCACTCAGCAAACGCTTATTCAGAGGGCTGAAAGCATTGCTCTTTTATAGACCCGATGACTCCCCTGCTGCTTCCTCGGTTTGACTGGGCAAAAGAGCCACTTCGACACCTATCACTGGGCGCAGTTTCGCTTTTCGTTGGCAGGGGGTTTCTTCTTACTGCTTGCATCGGATTGGCTCAAAATTTGGGCATAAGTGAGGATGAGAAGCACTGAAAAGCTAAGTCATGTGTTATTGAATGCTCGAACAAACTCGAGAAATTCCGCTCGTTAGCGTCAGAAGAAGGCATTTGCGCGGTAAATTAACGTGCCTGTTGTTAGGCATGTGTTTTTTCCAGCGATATTCCAACGAAATTGGTGGGCGTGATGGATGGCGTAAGATAAGGTTGTCAGAGTTGTGGGTGCTCTTTTTGAGCCTGCGGGGACAGCAGCATGGTGCTAACGGCGGTGCTGTCGATGATTCGCTATATTGGCGACATCGATGACCGGGACTTCGTGGATCGCCTGCACAGCTATTTCACTACCAACATACTCATCGCCTTCTCGATACTGGTCAGCTTCAAGGTTCGTCGTTTTTCTGAGGCAGTGCTTCTTCTGGCGGATCGCTTCCACTGGAGAATTATATATAGGCTTCTGCGCCCTATGAACACTTAGTAGGTTTTTTCGATGACAAAGCGATGGATCTGATGCTGGCCCGCACTGATTATTGTTAAATTATTGAAATGCTTTTTGCGCCTCGATTTTTGTCTTGTCCGTTTTACACTTTCCATTGAACTAGGCCCGTGACGTGCACGTATAACTTCCTGACGCGATAGGAAGTTTCTGTGTTATCGCCTGCGGAGGGGGACGGGGTGGGGGCACTGGTTTAAAATGAGTAGCTGCAGAAAGGCATTTGCCATATCATCCTATAAACCCCGTTTTTGATGGCCCCTTGAGCGAAACCAACAGGCAGTGATCACTATTTATGCTCATATTCGGTTTATAAATGCATTTTTCTGTTCTTCAGTACAGACGGAGTTGGTTGAATTTGTTCACGCATTTGTTTCAATTTCGTACCAGGCTGTATCCCTGTTTATTCAGAACACTGCATTATTTATGAAAGAAATTATCATTTCAGCAATTCGGCGGCAAACCTGTCGAGTGCTTAGTGCCAGATATCTTCAGCGGTTCGTGGGAACAGGCAGGTGTTTTTATGCTTTTTTTCCCTTGGGCACAACTGCTCTCTTCCCATCTGGTACCTTGAAGGCGGTGAATTTTTCCCAATGTTCCATTTATTTTCCTTGACGAACTTCTCTAGTCATCAGGAAGTTGCGGTAATCTGCTTTGAAAGGGAAAAAATACGTTTTAGTTTGCCGTAACTCGTCTCTCGATCTCGAAATTGCTCTCACGGAGTGACACTCGCCTATCGAGCTTTTTTTTTTATTATTATAATATCCGGAGTTCAAGCAAAGAGTTAATTTCGTACAAGCAGTTTCATTGAGAAATTGGCCTTATATTTTGCACTGTTAGTTAACTGATGCCGTTCCTGAAAAAATTTCGTGTGCTTTTTTTTTGTTGTTGTCAAATTAGCGACATTTTTTAAAAATTATTACTCGCATATTAGTGCTTCCGCCCTTCGCTGTGCTGTTGCATATATCCACATACAAATATCGCCTTAGTATATTTTTTCGTCTTTTTTTTTCTACAGTACAACGCTAGGAGAAAATGCTTTGCCGTTTGTAAAAATATTGTGAAAATGTGGTAGAAGTTTGAACGAAAAAAAATGGCACAAAAACGAATAATTTGTTTGCGTAACAACTAAAACCAGTTCGGAACAATCTGAGTTGTGTGTTGATGAGGCCCTGTCACAACTGGGTGTTTTCGTTTCGGTCGAGATGTAAATAGAAGGCAGCGTCGAGGCCCCACCAGTATATTTTACCACCGTTTGAATCTAGATTACATGTCATGATGCATAGTAGGACTAACTGATAGCCGGAAATGATACAGTTGAGGTAAAATGAAACTGAGCTTCAGTTGTGGCAGTGATAAGAAATGTATACGTCTTTATGGACCAGAACATTTTCTTTCATTATTTTTTTTCCATTTTTTTAATTTTTTTTATTTAATTTAATTTTTAATTTTTTAATTTTCATTAAATTTAATTTAATTTTCATTAAATTTAAAAAGTTCAACTTTTATTAAACTTTAAAGAAATTTAATGAAATTTAAATTTAATTAAATTTTCATTAAAAAAAATCATTTTTTTCATTTAATTCCATTTTTTTAAGAAAACTTTTCCAGTTTCATAGTTCTTCAACTTTTTCCCACATATACTCTTTCGTTCTTTCAAACTTATTCTAAAGTTTAATTAAGACAAATGATCGTAAGGACGAAATGCAACAGGGATGAATGCTGTCTAGTAAAATTGCTATCTTTTCTTGCCAACTTTACTCTCTGTGTATGTTTGCGGGAAAAATTTGAACGGTAGAACTAATGGGAGTTTTGCGGGATTTCTCTAAATCTTAATAAGCGGCTGGACTGTTGAGAAGTTTCCTTTAACTTCAACTGGACAATTCCGAAATCGCTGGCCGTGAATTTGGCCAGTGCGATTCATAGAGTAGCCAGTCTAGATATTGCAACATTGGGAAGTGTTCAATTTTTTTTTTTGTTTTGAGTGTGTTAAATTCCTTTAATTTTGGACCGTTTTTTAATACTAGCTGGCAAAACTGTATTACTTTTCTGCCGCGCATGATTTTTATCTTTCCACACATTTCCATCTAAAAAAAAGCCAACAGCACAAAATTGCCTCTACTTTTTACGATACTTTATCTCATTCTGGTCACGCCAGTGGCCCTAGTAGTACATCCAGAACGTGGCTGCACTTCATCAATCCATTTAATGTGTACAAAGCCGACAGCGTTGCTGCTTGCGGCTTTTCCTACTGCTTAAGCCGTTCATATTCGTAGGTTGTGTCAGACTTTGTTGTAATTTGCAAATTTTGTGCAGAGAAATTTGGTTCTTGAAAAGTTTTTCTGTCGCTGCACAGTGTCGCACACCTTAGAACTAAGTGGATTTGGGTTTCCTAAAATAATTCAAGTTTATTTTTCCATTTATGATAAATATTGCCCCCAACTTTCTTTCTATCATATTGGTCAGCCAGCTGGAAGCTCTGCCCTGTGGCTTTGTGTTTCCAGTACTTTTTCAACTCTGCCGGGTTCCATACTCGTGGGCAGTGCTTTTCCAACGGTATTTTTGCGTCCTGATGCTATCCGCGGCAGAATGACAGCACATCTGGTCCCCTACACAATGGGCGATTGTTATTGAACAGCTGTTTCGAAGCAATTTGATACAGCGCTCCGTTGTGTTCGCTGGCTGTGCTCTAAATCACTTGTATTTGTTCCACCTCAAATTCTCTCCGTTAATCTTTGTTATTTGTGTCTGCTTTGATGAAAAATTGTGCTGGAGAAATGAGTCTTCTGCCGTTCTGATTCTGCAAATACTGAGGGCCTGGATGTGGGGATGACTCTGGAGGGCAGCTCGGTGAGATTGCTGGTTCCGAAATCATAAATTTCTGCCGAATTCAAGTTCTTGTTTCAGAAGTCAACTAGATTTCAGTAA